TGCTGAGGACAGACCTCAGGAGGGCAGTTTGTCCAGAACCCACACCCACTTTCCTCATGTTTCCTGATCCAGCCCTGGGTCTGCAGTCACATTTCTGGAAACTTCCCTGGAGTCCAAGACTAGGGGTTTCCTCCAGGACCTCATGGCCCTGCCTTCCCCCAACCCCTCACAGGACATCTTCTTCCCCCAGGTGGAAAAGGAGGGAGCTACTCTCAGGCTGCGTGTAAGTTGGGGACTGGGATGTGGAGGAGCTCACCCACCCCATAATTCCTCCTGTGCCACGTCTCCTGCGGGCTCTGACCAGCTGCTGTTTTTGTTTTACCCCAAGGAGCAATAGTGCCCAGGGCTCTGATGTGTCTCTCAGGAATTGTAAAGGTGAGACCCTGGGAATCTGAAGTGGGTGGGGGTAGGGCAGAGGGGAAAGGACTGGGTTATGGGGATTCTTTGATTGGGACATTTTGAGTGTGTGGTGGGCTGTTCAGTGTCACTACTTACCATGACTGACCTGAATTTGTTCATGACTATTGTTTTCTGTAGCCTGAGACAGCTGCTTTTTGTGGTACTAAGATGATGGGATTTCCTCATGCCTCCCCTTTGTGACATCAAGAGCCTCTGGCATCTCTTTCTGGAAAGGCATCTGAATGTGTCTGCGTCCCTGTTAGCACAATGTGAGGAGGTGGAGAAACAGCCCATCCCTGTGTCCACCGTGACCCTCGTATCCACACTGACTTGCATTCCTTCCCTAATCATCTTTCCTGTTCCAGAGAGGTGGGGATGGATGTCTGCATCTCTGTCTCAACTTCGTGGTGCGCTGAGCTGCAACCTGTTACTTGGCTAGTGAAAATAAGAATCTGAATATAAATTTGTGTTTTCTCAAATTCTTGCCATGAGAGGTTGATGGATTAATTAAAGGAGATGATGCCTAAAATTAGAGAGAGGAATTAAAGACCTGAGAACCTTCCAGAATCCACCTGTTTTCTGTGCAGAGTCTGTTGCAGGTGGGGACTGGAGAAGGCTATGTGGGGCTGAGTGTGAATTGGGCCTGTGCCCAGTTGGTGTTGAGTCCATCATGGGCTTTATGGGGTCAGTCCTCAGCTGGGTCACCTTCACTGCTCCATTGTCTTTGTCCCTTCAATGGAAACTTGTCCTGTAGGAACTGTGGTCACAGAAACTCAGACATCGCCCAGGGTGGCCTCTGCACACAGCAGTCACTGTGCTATTGAGAGACAAATTTCGAGAGCCATTCAGCTCCTGCCCTCCTAATAGTCCTCTTTCCTAGATTATATTTTCCATCTTCTCTTTAATATTTCTGTTTTATTTTTTATGAATTTTCTATTTTTATGGATACATAACAGTTGTACATATTTGTGGGGTACATATGATATTTTGATACAAGCATATGATGTGTAATCATCAAATCTGAGTAACTAGGATATCCATCTCTTCAAACATTTATAGTTTCCTTGTGTTGGGAACGTTCTAAATCTTCTCTTCTAATTATTTTGAAACATACAATACATTATTGTTAACTATAGTTTCCCTATTATGCTACTGGATACTAGGTCATATTCCTTCTATCTGACTGTTTTACCCATTAATCAACCTCTCATCAACCCCTGCCTCCCTACTGCCCTTCCCAGGCTCTGGTAACCACCATTCTATTCACTACTTTGTTGAGATCAATTTTTGTAGCTCCCACATATAGGAGGAAGTGATAATTGTCTTTCTGTGCCTGGCTTACTTTACTTAACCTAATGTCCTCCATTTCCATCCATGTTGCTGCACCCAACCTTTTTAAAGGAACCAGTTTCTGGAATTAGCGGAGAGGAGGGATCCCATAATTTTTCTTCTTAGGTATGTTTCTGGTGGAACTGCTATTCTACTCTGCTCTCCTACCCTCTCTCCCTGCCCTGGTTCCAGTAATCTTGGTGTTGGCTCCAGTCCAAACTCATGAATCTATAAAGCAGAGTCTAATTTAGAGTTATATTTGTTTGTAAAATTGGATCCATAGTCTAGATTTTTTCTTTCCTGAAGAGAGAAACCTGATTATGTGCTGCAGAGTGTGTGTGTGTGTGTGTGTGTGTGTGTGTATATGTTGGGGAAGGGGAGTTGGTGTAGGGAGGGCACAAGCAGCCCTGTTGAGAAAAGCACAGGCCATCCCGAATGTCAGTGTGAGGGAACCTTGTGCTGTAGCTGTCACAAAACAGTATTTGGCCTGAGGCTATGTTAATAAAGCTATTGCCTTTAGAATAGGGAGGTGTGCTACAGTGATCATTCATTCAACTGACCTTTGTTGTCTGACAGACATAGGACACCGTGGTTTTGCATCTGGGGAACATAACTGAAGTAAAATCAGAAAAATCTTTGGCCTTGTGGGGCATGTGTTCCAGTGGGAAGAAGCAGAGGATAGATACACTATGAGCAGAGTAAGGAAGAAAGATGCTAGAAGACAGCAAGTGTCTGCGGGTAGGTGATCCAAGGTGGCTGTTGTAGTGTGGCCTTGTTGCAAAGGTGACCTTTGAGGAAAGATTTGAGGGACATGAGTTATCCATGAGGATGTCT